AAAAAAAACGAACGAGGAGAAAGCTTATTTTCATTTTTAAAATTGCATATTTAATTTTTGTAAATAACAAAGTATATGAAAAGATCGATATCAGAATCGTATCCTTTTTTTTTTTCTCGTGAAATGTTTCGAATGTTCCATTTCGATCTTATGGAAAATTCGATTTTTCATTTTTAAAATTGCGTACTTAATCTTTACTACTAAACGACAGTTTACAATGAAAAGATCGATATCTTTTTCTCAAAACCGTATCTCTTCATTTTCAAATGAAGAAGACCTCGTCTTCGATGATTATAGGGGAAAAAATATCCATCCAACTTCTTTGGAACGAGAGCATTCGCGTCTCTCTAACGAGAACCAACAAACAAAAATAAAAATTTCTTTTTTTCTCGAGATGAAACGCATTTAGATTTCCAAAGAAAGAGAGAGAGAGAGAAAGAAATCAAATTGAAATAACATAAGGAGACGCGTCGAGAGTTGGCAATCGGCGCAATTGTGCCGGTAACTATGCCGATTCTTCCATTCGAGATTTACCACGCACAATATCTAGGCAGAAGCGAACCACTGAGAGCGCGGGTCGAACAAGGGCTGCGAGATAACAGAACGCGGCAGCCATTGTCCACCGTGGACAATGCAAGGCTGCTGGATCATGCTAGGAGCAATCTACATCTTCACCGATGTATCATAGCGCGCGTGTTGCGATAGAACCCCTCAAATCGTCTATCCTCCTTCTCCTATTCTCCTTTCATATCTGGTTATAAGGAGGGCCATGGTATGCGCTGTTATTGCATCTACCGTGCGTGGAGGAATATTGAGATATCTTCTCCGAGAAATATTTTATTCGCTGACTGTGGAGATAACGTAAATAAAAAGAAAAGGAAGAAACGAAGATCGTTTTGTACTTCGATCGAGAAAATTCTGTATCATCTGTTAAATAAATAAAGCCGTGGATGAACGGCGCGATCCAATTTCTTTTTCTCTCTCTTTGTTTGTTGTATAATTTTTCGAGAAACAAATAGATTATTTCAAACAATCCTTCGTGCGTCGATTCGCATCTCGATATCTCGAGCGGAGGGGAATGAAATTTCGGGTGAAAAATTCAACCCGAAATTTGATACATCAGGTGTTGTTATTCCAGCGACAGTTGAGGAAGGGCGAACAGTGACTCGCGAATTCCTGTTCCGTGTGAACACCTGGACTTGTACCCGAGAAGATGGCGTCGCAGATAACATTGTCTCGCCTTTTGTCGGCCCCTTCGTCGGCATTATCTACGGCGCCTTTCGCATTATGCCACCTTTATATCATCATCGTGGTCAGGTAGCCGCTGTATACAATTTAACGAAACGATATACTCAAAAACGTGTACGCTTCTTGGGTGAAAGTATCTCTTCGATCGGAACGTTACCCTCTTCTTCTTTACCAAAATTGAATTTATAAAAATAAATTCTCCTTTTAAATTATTAAACCTCTCTGGTAATTTTTGTTCACCAATTATTACTTAATCGTACGATAATTATTTTCCTCTTCTCTCTCCTTTCGTCGAAGCTTTATCGTAACTACGATCTCTACTACTAATTAATTAATCCCTCGGACTAAAATTAATCGATCGAGAGGTAAAAACGTGGCGTGGTCAAACATCTGCATCATTGTCCAACAATGTTGCACTGCAATTTCTCGTCGATGGTATCGAATTCGAGGCAACGGAACCGGCTCGAATTTCTCGTGTCCAACACGCACGATGCGATTTACACGCCGATTGCGCTTCCACCGATTATTTATTAATCTTCATTTTTCAACGTTGCGAGCACAACGAAACGCGCCGAATACCAGAGGAAGAGTTTATCGGATCGCGAGAGAACGCGTGCAGTAGCCTTTAAACCCGTAATTGGCATCGTCCGTCAATGACAGCCGACCGCTACCACACCCCTTTCGTTGCAACCTAACATTTGTGCAACCTGCTTCCGCAAATTACATTCACCATTCATCTCCCCCTCCCCTTTCTTTTTATCGCGCTTGATCACAGGATTTACTCGATCGAAATTGTTTAAGATCGTTCGTTTACAACAACATCAACAACAACTTTTCAATTCGATCCGAATCCGAGACGGGTTTTCGAAAACGCGAGCATAAATTTTCGTAAATTTTCTGCGAATTGAAAAAGAAAGAAGAAAGAAACTAGAGATCCGATTCTCGACGAGTTACTCGAGCAACGTTCTATATATATATATCCGTTCCAAGTGTGGATCGGAAGAGCGCGCAAGTTTCATCGAGGAGTACGATAGCGATTATTCGGCGTGGCAAAAACCGTGAACCGATCTCGTTACCTCCCACTCCCCTCTCGAACGTTGGCAATTACAAAGGCCGATACAGGAGAGGATGGAGAAATCCGCAAGTGGCACGTATGCACGGCACAACGCAGGCCGTCGTGCTGCGAAAGGGGCCCTGAATGCTGGAGTATCCTCTTTCCTCGAACCTCTTAGCGCTATTTAGCGGATCCTTTTACGGGACACCACGGGTCCCCCGACAAGAAAGGAAAGCGCGGCAAACGGGCCGACGGCGAGCAGCCACGAAACAACAGGGCGAAAAAGAGGCGAGGCGTTTCGAGGAGAGGCAACAACCAGAAGAAGAAGAAGAAGAAGAAGAAGAAGAAGTAGTGAAGTAGTGGTGGTGGTGGTGGTGAAAGGCGGAGGTGGAGTACCAAAATGGCGGCCTGGTCGGCCAGCCCAGGGACAAGATAAGCCTTTGTGCCCGTGCAGGGGCCCCGGGGGCCAGAAGGATCCCCTCGTTTCGGTCTCATATTTCGCGAATCCCGCTATCATATTTTACTCCTTCCCCTCCTACCATTTCGGCCCTTTCGGCCTGTCCCTCATTTTTTGCTCTCTCACTTTTCGGCCTCCTCCTCCTCCTCCTCCTCCTCTCCTCTCGATTGTTCGTTGCTCCAGAGAGAAAGAGAGGGGGGACCGTTCTGTCTCTTGACGCTTCGCCCTGGATGAATATCGCGCCACCCCTCATTGTCGCGGCCGCTTTGTATGCCGACATACTTATTATGTCCACGTCGCGGAATACATTATGCAAATATCATATTTACGCGGTGGAAGGATGTTCGGGTGGGGTTTCGAGCGATTCGAGCGTATGAAGGAGGAGATTTTTCTTGGAAAACGAATGGAAGAAAGAATTTTCGACGATTCGATGATGACGATTTTTGTGAAAGTAAAGAAAGAAATATGGACCTGCCTTCGCGTCCGACGAGTTTCCAATTTTAGGGGGACGAAGAAAAAGTTACGAGTCGATTGATATATACGCGTGGGGAAGAGGAAATTGTTGTTTAAAAAAAAGAAAATTTCATTTGCGTATTGAAATTCTCTGGTCGATTAATTCGTCACTGTTGAATTTAATCTGGCAACGTTATTACCGAAACCCCCGGCCCACGTTGATCGCCGTCAAACGAATCCCTCGGGGGTAGATAGACAGGGCCAACCGGTTTCGGGAACCAGGCACGAGAACAGGGACGCGAGCCGGATTAAATTATTGTCGCCAGGAGAGGTTGCCTCCGTCTCCAAACTTTCTATTTTGATCGAGAAATTTTGCCTTGTTAAATGATGGAAAAAGAAAAGATTGATCGGATTGATTTTTAATATAAGTTTAGAGAATTTATTTATTTTTAAAATTCCAAAGATCTCTCGTCTCTCACAGAAGGAATTAAAAGAACTACGTCAACGTACGATACCGATCGATAGCGATAAAACTCGATTTCCACATAATCTCGAAATTAATTCCGAGAGATCGTCAAAAAAAAAAAAAACAAGAAGCTTCTTTCCACAGAAAAAAGAAAAAAGGGAAAAATCAGCAGCAAAGATCAAAAGAATTCGCACGCAATCGTCGCCGAGGCGATAATTCGAATCCAAAGATCCAATTAACGTCGCGAGGAGAGATGATACATAGATTCTCGCCCGTATCCTCCGTTTCCTTTGGCACAACGTTATCGATTATACCACACAGCTAACCACCCTTCATCCTCGAGCCAATCTCTCCAAGGCGTTTGCCCGATTCCCGCCGATATCGAGCGTGCGCCGCTCATTATTCGATTATATCCCGATTATCGAGCCGAGGGATCTCGATTGGCCTCTCTATGCTAGAGAGGGGCCCTTAAGGGGCTCCGTTCTCCTGCCAGGCAACAGGAGGAAGACGGTTCGTTTCCACGGCTCGGCGTCAAACAATTAAGGTTGACTTACGCGTGGCCGAGGCGCGTTACCACCGTCCGTGTTAAAAGAGTAAACGAGTTACCGGCCTTGCCGCGGATCAGATAAACGCGAAACCGTGGCCCTGTCATCTCGGAAGAATTTACAGGCGACGTCGTCGTTGGACCAACAAGAGACGGAGAAAGAGAGAGAGAGAGAGAGAGAGAGAGAGATTCCGTTTCGCTATCAACTCGGCGAAATCTCGATTTCCGCTCGTGACGAAGCGTTTCGCGCTCCACGAGGCTTTTCCACGAAAACGCGCCGCCTTTGGATCTCGCGTCGCGTTGATGCGCGAGAAACGCGATATTCCGTGTCGGTGATTGTCGGTAGCGTAGGAACCGCTTTCATCGATCGAGAAAGCAATTCGTACGATCCAATCGGGGATGACGCGAGTTTAATACTCGCAGTGAATTTAAACTCGATTTCCTGATCGTAGAAAATTTTACAAGATTTCTCTATTTACACGTATTTTGAATCTATCGCATCACGCCAAGTAATTCGTCCTAACATTTAGCGCGAGAAGTACGGTTTTAATAAATTAAAGCTCTCGTACGAAACGAAATCTAAAACTGCTGAACATATTAACGAAACTTAATGTCGAACGAGAACGAGAAAGAAAAATTCACGACATATATAATTTTCTCGTCTTCTACGAAATACGTATGTCGTATATACGCGTCTCGTCGAAATCTTTCTACGAAGTAATATATTTCCCGCGAAATACCAGCTTTCGAAGTAGAACGAAGGAAGGAGTTCGCTTACCAGGCATGCAGACGCAGCGGAAGGTTCCAGGGTCGTCGAGGCAGGAGCCATCGTTCTGGCAGGGATGGGACTCGCACTCGTTCACGTTCGTTTCGCATCTCGGCCCCGTGAATCCTTGCGTACAGTTGCAGGCGAACGAGCCGGGCGTGTTCACGCAAATACCGTCGTGCTCGCAAGGTGATCCTGGAACGAACAAAATTTCTTTTCGTTTTTTCTTTTTTCCACAATCGTCGAGAACAAATCGAATGCATATCCGACAGATAATCAACCCCTTCCTGTTTAAGCATTTCACTCGAGGAAAGCTCAAACGATAGGGCAACGTGGATTATAAGAATCGTGATCTTCTCGTGTATGTGTATTAAAAAGTAAGAGCTAAATCTCGATTGAAAAAATTCATTCCACGAGTTTCACTCGTGCTATTCAGTTCAGTTCAGGTCGAAACCACGAGTGAGAGACTCTGAAGTTATTCGTCGCATATAAATATAATTAACAGCGGTTTGGAAAAGAGTGGAAAGAGCGGGGCGCGACAAATGCATGCTAGGGCGCCTTAATTGACCATCGGTCGACGGGGTTTTGTCGAGGAAAGAGGGAAGGAAAAAGCCGTAAGAAGAAAGCTGCCGCGGATTCCATCCAACGGGAGGAATTCTTCCCGCTCCACGATCCGTTTCGTTTCGTTTTCTCGGAGTTACCGCGCTAATTGCAATAAGATAATCGCCCCGCTCTCGAATGATTTCGCCATTCGAGAAATGAGCGTTTCATTAAGCGTTGAGAAGAATTAAGAAGAATCGTCCAGAATTTGACTCGTTTCAATCCCCACCATTGTGATTTCGCGTAATTTGACACTTTCGATTGAACCACTTTGCTTTCCTTTCCTTTCTTTCTTTTTACAGAAATAGTCTAATTTTGTCACGCAACTCGATTAAAAAGATATCGATCTTCCGTCGTGGTCTAAACTTTGTACAAGACACGAGAAACAGAAAGTCTATCTATCTATCTATCTATCTATCTATCTATCTATCTCCTTTCTTTTTTCCTTTCTCTCTCTCTCTCT